AACACATAGATTTATATTTAAAATCAGGTTTACAAAATAAACTAACAAACTTGAACAAAAATACAAAATACTATCTCAAACTCATCCCAAGAAAATCTCTTGAAGTTCTTTTGAAGAATTCTCAACTCTTCTTACAATCTTACTCCAATACACACACAACTTCCTCTCAACAACCCTGCAAAAACCTCTTCAACCCAACACACCCAACAACTTCTTTTATTTGAAGAGACACCCCTTATAATAACCCCTTGAAATACTCAAGAGTCACTTTAGAAGCCCCTTCAAAATTCGTCCAAATACGTTGCAGCTAAAAAAAACTGATTTTGGCGCCTAAGCGCCTGTTTCGGCCCTTAGGCTCCAGATCTTGGTGCCATGGCATCGAGCTCTCTGTTTCCATGTACAGGGGCTGACGTCTAAGTGTAGGTTCACTTTGTGTTTCTTTGCTCCATTTGACCTCGTTTTACTCCGTTTTCGCTCCTTTTTCTCAAAAATTTCATCTCTTATACCCGAAATCAAAAACATAAAAAATAACTTCCATTAAAATATAATATCATTAAAAATGAGCATAAAATGTATCTCAAGAAGTAACACATTTTTAGGCATGTCAATTGGGCAGTATTTTATTATTTTGTATGGTGATGATAAACCTTGAAGGCTTAATTTACTTTTCATTCTCTGACCGAATGAATTGTTAAAATTCATTGAATTGAACTATAACACTTGGAAAAGTCTATGGTAGAATTAACTAGGTTTATCACATATTATGGGGTATATGTTGATATGCCTTGTGGGGAGATGCAAATGCTAGAGAAATGTGCTTTGATGAGTTAGATTTTAGGATATATTAGAGAAATGTGCTTTGATGAGTTAGATTTTAGGATTGTAGGAATAAAGCCATTTCTAGCCGAGCTTCTTTATGCACTCGGGAGAGGATAAATAAGTCGATTGCTCTTATTTGTCACTAAACTATTTTTACTTGCAATTTCTATTTCATGAAATCCTTTTAACTTATTACAAGGAGGAGCCACTAAGTATTTGATAATTTCCATATAATTGTGATAATTTAGGATTACTTTGTAGGACTTAAACTTTTTAATTGTTGTGATACTTTAGGATTACATTGCAGGACTCTAACACATCCAAACTTTTAGGCTAGGACTAAAACTAGTAGGATAGAACTTTTCCTAACAATGATTACCTCATTCCCTTTGGGATCGACATTTTGAACTCTAAAATCTGGTATTCCTGATACGACCCGTGCACTTGCATGGGCCGCCTGTGTGTTGTAGCACCAGGAAGCGGTATTACTTAGACATATAAGAAATGGAACAATGGAGAGAGTGGAACTCAGGCCCAAAGATGTAGGAAGTTGAATGGTGGAGAGTGGAGATAACACAATCATTATTTATGAGTTAAAAAATGCAACTAAGGAATGAAACTTGCATGGTACATTATGATTAGAATAAAATGCAATATTATTTTATGGGCAACTCATCAAAATTCATGTAGGAGAGAGCCATCGAGTCTTAACTTCAGTTAATCTTCTATTATAATGTTACCACATATTTATAGCTATTATATGTTAATTCTAAAAATAAAATAATAAAAAAATTCTTCATAGGATCCACAATTTCCTCCTTAAATTTGAAATTTAAAATTCACTCCAATAATGTCTTGTTGGTATAAATTTTTTATAATTTTAGTCTTGCATTGAGGGAGAGAGTATTTTTTAATTTAAAATTTAAGTTGTATTTAATTACTGGCTTAAATCTATGATTTAAAACCTTACTTTAATGGAGAGAAGGAGAGTTGTCAGATTAAAAAATTGAATTTATCTCCAATAATATTTCATTTGTAAAACTTATTAATTTAAGGCTCGCTTTAAGCGAGTAGCTTAGGGCAAAATTTGGCATGCTTGTATTAATTATGAATTCGGGGAGGTACTATTATTTAAAAAAGAGAAACGGCCAAAATTTCATGAGTAGAGGTAGAGGGATAAGCTAAGTATAGAATTTCTCCATTAATATCATTAAAATTTGGCGCTAGATGATAAATGTAATAAAATCATCCTTTGAGAAACAAGTAAGATCTCCTCTTACTTATAAAGCTTATGCTAGCATAACCAAGTATAAATGTTTCTTTTAACGAATATTATGTTCTTAAACTTGTATCCTTATCCTATATCATTAGGCTTCATTGTATAGATTTTCATTTCCAAACTTAGAGGTAATTTAGATCCTTAAATAAATATGACTTGTGGGCAAACTCAGACATTGTTTCACCTATCTAGATATTGGGTTCTTCATTAGTTTTGTGAGTTAATACATAAATAACTCTACTGAAGATCATATGAAAGTCTAAGTTACCTTAAAATAATATTGGGAAATGGCCTATCATGTAAAAGTCATTCAACAAGGAAATCAAAATTTTCATAAATTTTGATTGGGATAGAGACACATCAGATTGAAGATCCAACCCTACTTATTGTACTCACAACACGCCGAACTCTCACCCATCGAGATATTATGCGCTTTGGCTAGATGGCCTCCTAGTTTTGTCCAGTTAGTGTAACTTCCCGGAAGGTCACCCATCCTAGGCCTAGGATTGCTCTTGCATGAGCACCCTTAACTCTGCAATTTATGTAGAAATTCCTATTGTTCTACCAAAATGCATCTTAATATTTAAGAGTTCGACTTTATTATACTTGAGAGGTTTCAAAATCCCCTCCACTCAAGTAACCAATGTCCTCATCAGTTTTATTAACATAGAATCATTCACCAGATAGATAGGATTCTAGAGGTAGCCCCTATAAATTCAAGGGTTGGCTCCCACTATATAGCACTTTGTTCCATCTTGGTTCAAGGGGCGGCTTCCATGAAGTAACATTTTATTTTGTATGACACTTAGTTTCCATCTTCAAGCTGGAATGTTCGGATGTCATTTTTAACAACTCAAACTCTCACCCATCGAGATATTGTCCCATTTTTAACAACTCAAAGTCTCACCCATCGAGATATTGTCCACTTTGGCCTGATTGCCTCGTGGTTTTGTTTTGTTGGTGTAACTTCCTAGGTGGTCACCCATCCTAGGATTGCTCCTGCATGAACACACTTAACTTTAGAGTTTGTGTAGAAGCTCCAATCGTTATACCAAAAGGTGCTTCAATATTTAAGAGTTCAGCTTCATTCTACTTAAAGGGTTTCACAATATTTATGTGTAAGGAAACTTGGTTACATGAAGAGAAAGAAATAATCTATGACCTTAAGTAATGCTGAAGCTGAATCTAGAGTATCAGTACTTAGTATTGGCGAAGAAATACGGTTAAAAATATAGTTAGAAGAACTACTCTAACAAGCAAAAAAATCTCTGAAAATATATATATTGTGACCACTAGGTTGCTAAGTATTGTAAAAAATCTTATCCACCATTGAAAAGAAGAAACACTTCAGCATAGACCGAAAATCAAAAAATTTGAAAATGGACTAGTCCCACTATATTCTAAAAACTCAATATCGTTACCAAGGATTTACTTTGAATTATTTTTGATAAATTAATCAATCAACTTGCTAGGCATACTTAATATCTACAATCTAACCTGGACGCGAACGTTGAAATAATCATGATTATGTGGCGAAAACTTTTCTATCTACAATAACAACCAATAATCAGTTGTCAACTTTCTATCTACAACAAATCTAACAATTCATGAAAAGCAAATTTTCAACTATAAAAATGTAGTAATCTATGAGCAACAGTTTTCTATCTTTAATGATTCAACAATCCATGGACAAAAACATTTCATGTATGTCATGTAGTTAATTCTGGATTTAAAAATTTAAGAATGTTTTCTAGATTTATTTATTTATTTTATTAATATTTGTTTCTATACACATTTATGTGCAACTTCTCATCTTCTTATTTTCACATAGACAACAAATAAAATTTAATCATACAATCTTCCTTTTTTTTACTTTTCCCTTTTTACATTCTAATTTTCAAGAAAATGGAGGGTCGGTTTTTCTTTGCTGATTTATTCTTTCTGTCTTTGTATGTCCTGAAGGGTTGTTTCTATTATTTCTAAAAATAAACGAGAATTATTGGGTCACATTAAAAACACGATGACAATATTATAGGCATTCCTTCACTAATTTGATAATGTTTACGTTGCCCTTCAAAAAGACAACACCGAACAAAAAAATCTGCAAACGTGCATTTCATTTAGTTCTTGTACATCATTGAATTATTTTCATTTTTTTGAGACTTTTGATGCATGTAATAAAAGCTTTTTGTTGTAATTCTGTGCAGCATCTCTTATTTCCAGTTATTAATATGCAGCTATCTGGTATAATTTTTCATAATAGATTTAAACATGTTTAGGCAAGTTGAGGGTTCATTGATTGAGCTGGCTTGGGCTTGCACAACATATAAGAGGATGTAGACCAAAAGTATTAACATATTTTGTTGCTTATAAGCATTTTGAGAAACAAGAATTAACAGGAATCAATGGCAAACACGGCTTCATAAAGTTAATGTACAAAATATTTGATAATTTGAGGTCTTTGGAATAAGGTTTGCCGTGCTGCATTGCTGGTGTCACTTCTGCATTTGCGTATAATTAAAGGGCACTGATGTAATTGGAAAAAAGTGATCATTACAGCAATTAATTCACATATTTTGATAGAGATCTCTATGTTGTGTTCCATTACAAGTATGTATGTTGGTCCACCACCACCACTACCTCTTTTACTTCACTCTTTTATTTATATATTTCACATAAAAAAACAGATATTGACTTCTTAGGTGTGTTAGATACTATTTTAAGTTGTATTTGTGCCGATAAGAAAAGCTTTGAGCAACATATTATCTCACCTTGCCCATTATTTAGAATATTTGCTAGGTTTTTAATGAGATTCTATCTATCAAGCTTCTTTTTTTTGACATCAATAGTTCTTGGCACTATTTTTTTTTTTCAATCACGTGTTATGTTTTACTTTGACCAGGATCGGGTGAGCCATAAGCTATCTTCAAGGGGGAAATATGTGTCGGTTAATATTGGACCTATTCGCGTGGTCTCCAGTGAGCAGGTTTCATATTTAATTTCATCATTTAACTTAAGAGGCTGTTTTGTGAGGCGTAATTTAACCATGAATTTTCTGCATGCAAGTGACCATTCATACTTTTGATTAATTTCATGTGGTATGTATCCTCACATATATTTTCACTCTCCAGGTCCAAGCTGTGTACAATGCTATGAGAAGGGATGAAAGGATGAAATACTTTTTATAGATTCATAATACATTTCTATATCGGAATACCTGCTTGGTTGTAAATTCTTAACGTACTTTAGTTCAGCCAGGTATGTTGCCTACCTTCTTTCTTTATGTTTTTTGTTTCTTGCTATTCTTTCACTGCTGTACTATATCTCCTTTGGGAACCTAAACTGTGCTTGTTTTTTACAGATTGAAAGAGGTTATTAGAACCAAGGATCTTTATAAGCCAAAGGAATGAGAAGATATATCATCATTGGGAATACTATTAGTTGATATAATTATGCTATTCATGTTAACGCATTTATTCACAAAGAGGAAGAAGTAGAGGATTATGAAATGCTGTTCTTTGTTTGGATAACCCTGGGGATTGCTCGACAGATTTGCGAGTGATCATTTTCTTCACTTTGTACTTTATGACTGGTGTTACAGTAGAGGACTAAGGAAAGTTCATTATGATTAAGAAGCTCAAGATAAATCTGTCCAGAGTTCTTTATGGCTAATAAGTTCAACATGTTCCTAGAGATTTTACAATAGTCGACAAGTTTAGTATGGATCTATCAAGTTCACCATAACTCATGAGTTGAATATGATTATGTTGAATCAATATGATTCTATCAAGTTTAATGTAACTTATGAGTTGAAATGACTATAATGAATTTGCTAGTTTTTAATGAGTTTAAAGTAAGACTTGAGATATAATAGTGAACTTGATGATTTCGTCGTAAACCTGAAGTATCAATCGTGAATCTACCTATTTTATTTTTTTATTTCTAAAAATATTATTTTAAATTTTTAATTGGACTAGCTTGAACCTAGTTTATGAAAATTTTGGATTTACGGTTAATTCGCTAATTTACTTGAATCTTTGAAGAGAATCTCATGAAAAGAGAAAGATAAGTAAATAATATACAAATTTAATTAAATGATCAAATAATTTATCATCATTATGAGTTAACTTATATAAATGATGCTAGCATAATTGGTCAGTTTTAGAATTATAGTATGCTCATAAATATAAGCATAATATTGCCATTCAAAAACTATTCTCTCTTATATAGTCATCAACCTCAATCTTGTTATATAACTTAATTTTTTAGTCAAAATAGCAAATATTCAAAGTAAAGCAAGTAAAACATCATATTATACTTTTTATCAATCAAATAACCTTTCAAAACAAACCTATAAATCTTCTATTATGTAAGCTAACAATTGATTAGAGATTAAATGAAATCATTTATTTTACATGTTTTTTTTTTTTATATATTTGAGCATTTTGTATTAATGAGTTATTGAGGTGGTGAGTATATATATTTGAACATTTTGTATTAATGAGTTATTGAGGTGGTGAGTATATTGAGTTAAACGAGTGTGTTGAGTAACTCATAATTTAAATGCAAGATAGTATTTTTTTTTAATTGTTTTCTCAATTATTATTTGAAATTTTGCTTTTGTTGTATTCTTAGAAAGTTTGTTGCCTTAGATGGACCTCATTTTTTCTAGAGCTTTTGTCTTCAAAATAGTAACTATCAAAACTCATAATTTAAATTGTAGCCCCTTCTCTTAATACAAATCTTATCATAAAGAGGGGAGTCCAAGTCATATAGCCAAACTTTGTGTCTAAAGTATATAAGAAGACTTGGTAATGCTTGAAGTTAGTCACGTTTAAATATGTAAATTTAATTGAATTTGAGTTACAATTTTTTTTTTGTTCAACGAAAGTTGCTAAAAATATAATAGTTTTGAATTTATTAAAAAATTATGCAAACTTTTATATTATTTTCTTATTTTCATTCGATGCATCTTCTATTCTTATAGTGAAGCTTAACATAGAAAGTATAAATGGCTACTTAGTTAAGCATAGATTACCTATTCTTTGGGGTATTTATGTTTTCTATAAGAAGTTGTCTCATAAATTTTTATCTTTAACTTATATTGAGATCCTTTTGATCTAAAAATTGAAAGAGTCAACTGCTCACCAAATTAGCAGATAAACTTCTAACTTAAAGTTGGTCAACTTCAATTTAAAAAATTAATTTTGGAGATTTTTTGGTCGAGCTTTTTTGAAAAAAAACTCCATACTTTTTCTTTCTTCCTTTTGATTTCATAGAAAAAAAAAGAAAAAATTAAAGTGGAACAAGTTCACGAAGTTTTTTGAAGATTTTGGTGAGTTGCTTAGCTAATTTTAAAAAAATTAGTTCTTGGGTGATTTGAACACTCCTTTAGATGATTTTTTATCTTTTAGAGTAATTAAACTCTCCCTTGAATGACTTTAAATTTTGGATGAGTTGAATTTTCAATTTGATGACCTAAATTTTTAGATGAGTTTAACCCTCCCATTGATAACTTCAAAATTTGGACACATTGAGCTCTCTTTAATGGATTTATTATAAGGTATGTATTCCTAAAATACTTGAAAATTTCCAATGACAAGTATTCATTGGGTAATTTTCTGAGCATTGAGTTTTAGAGAAGAGTTTTTCGAGTACTTGTTGTATTCTTGAGATAAATTCTTGAATATTTATTGAGTTATAGGAATGAGTTTCTTGATCACTTGTTAAAATTTAGGGATGATTCTTTTGCGTACTTGCTAAAATTTAACAAGTGTTTCTAGTGCTTACCAAATATATTAAATTAGTTATCTATTGGTGATGTATTCATGAATTTTTATGTTTACTTATTCTCCATTTTTTGTTGTATTGCATTTATAATGCTTTGGTTTTGGTTCTTAGCATTGTCCATGCTCATGAAAAATTTTTAAAAGTTAATTTTTGATTTATTTATTATCATTTGAGATTCTGTTAAAAGACTTATAAGATTTTACATAAAAAAATAATAAGAAAAAGTAATAAAAATTTGAGAAGAAAAAGAAGAAGAAGATTAAGAAGAGGATTTAAGAGAGAAAAGTTCCTAGAGAAAGAAACTTTGATATCTCTATTGTTAGCATTGAACACATAGGAAAATCCCTTAAAAAAATTTACCTTTTGATTTTCTATTTATAATTGTTTGGGTTCTAAAAGAAAAGCTACACCTCGACCTACTAAATTAAAAAAAATAAAAAAAAAGTTTATGATGGAACTATTACTAACACGTGAACATAATAATCTAAACTTTAATATGTGGATAAGGATAGCTCAATTAGTGAGTTAATGGAATAAGTGACAAGCTAAGCATGTGAGATTACTGGTCTATGGACAAAAATATTGATTATGTGATGAAGTATTTGTTAAAAGTTGGATGTTAAGAAGTAGCTCTTGGAAGTAGGTTAATTGATCTTCAAGATGAGTCCAATGCTTTTGATGCCTCTAATATGCTTAATATAATTCTATTGGGTTCACATTGTTGTTGATGGCTTTTAAAATAAATTTTCTAAGTTCAACATGATTGATGATTCTAAAAGTTCAAAATGATTATTGATTTCAATTAAAGTAGAAGAGAGGAGGAAAGGGATTGATTTCAGCCATGGTGGAGGGATGGGGAGAAGATGAGTGAAGTTCACATCATATTTTTACAAAACTCTTTGAATTTCATTAAAAAAACAATTGAAATGAAGGTGGGAAGAGCTTATACCTTCTTTGGATGGAAGCTCTTAATTTCCTTGCTTTAGAGAAGTGGAATCTTCTTGATCTCCTTGATGAAGAGAGGGGAACGAAATGATGGGGTTTCAGCTAAGGTAAGAAGAAGAAGAAACAAAGGAGAGAGGTGGGCGACCGAGGGAGGAGAGAAGAAGAGAGGGAAAGGGAGAGGGGATTTTCGACCAAAATGAGTGTGAGGAATGGGATTTCAAAAATTCATGAGGGAATTTTCTTAAATGATAGATAATTTTAAAATTTTAAAAGGGGGGGGGGGGGGGGGGGGGGGAAGGGGTTTTGACACATTAAAGGGGGGGAAGAGGGAAGAGGGAAATGAGAGGGAAATTTGAATGAAGGGGTTGAGGTGGTTGGGGCCAAAGAAATGGGAGGGTTAAACTCGTCTGGCTCAAAAAAACTAATGTGAACAAAATGTTGAAGTGGCTTTTGATTTTTGGTGTCTCTATCTCAAGGTACTTCAATTCAAAGTTCAAACAAGGTAGTTAAGGTGGTTATGAAAAATATTAGAAATTGGCACATTTGAGTCATAAAAAATTAGGAGAATACACTGGTGAAGTAGACTTTAGTTAAGGTGATCTTTATCTTAAGAAATTTGAAGCCAAAATTTGGGTCCTATCCTAGCAAAGAGTAAATTTTAAGAGTTTTTTATGGATTTCAATTGATTAAGTTAAATTTTTTTAGCTTAATTTACTTTAATACAATTTGAGGGGCTATCATGATTATTAATATGATTATGATTATGATTATCTTATTATAGCTCAAATTATTGTAGTCTTGATGGATCCCTAAATAGTTTGAGTGGAGTTAATTTAAAAGGTTTCAACAACCTAAACATAATCGTTAGTTCGTTCTGAAAAATGATGTTCAATGAAAAATTTTAACGTAGGTGTAATTTTCATGTATGAAAACTTGAAGTAAAAATGCATGTTTCTCCATATGTAATAACAAAGATCATGCAACTGTCAGAATGATATTTCAAGCTCTATGATGATCTGTGGAGAGAATGATAAATTTGAGGTGAATTTGGATTAAGCTAATTTTTAATTTAATTTTAGAGTTTGGTTGAGACTGGCTATATTTGATTTTATTTTAGTTTGGTTAATTTTAATTTTTTTTTAGTTAGATTCCAATTTTATATTTAAATTAGGGTTGACTCAAATCTTATTTTAAGTGGGTTCAAGTCCTGGCTAATTTGGGTTTAGTTTAGTCATTTAATGACACTAGAAAAGGATTCTAGGTCTAAATGAGATTGGATATATGCCAAGCGAAAAGGTTCAACATGGTCTTTAAATCTTCATAAAAAACAATTAGGAGGTAGGAAGATAACCACAAAAATAAGAGTAAGACTTATTTTATAATAGTTCAAGGAAAAGCTCTTTATTAGAGCATTTTATTTGATTTTAGGTTCATGATTCATCTAAAGGCCAGTAGGAGAAAATAACCAAGATGCCCTTCCTATTTGGGTGCATTAATAATACTTTAAAAAATAGTTAAAGTTGTTGAGGGGCTTTATTATTATAATAATAATAACTATTAATCAAATTGTTGACGCTTTTGAAGGGAGCTTGGGAAGATTTTATTGATTTAACCTAAAAAGGATACCTAGAGATAAATTGATAAGTTCTACAATAATAATAAATAATAGGAGTAGCAGTAGTAGTTGTTGTTGTAGTAATAATAATAATAATAATAATAATATTATTATTATTAATATTAAAGTAATTTCTACTTCTAACCTTTGATTCATGCATTTAATTTACTAAAAGTGCATTTACATTGCCATTTTAATTCTTCCATAAGAGATTTACAAATTTA